CGATGACCGAAATATTACGTAGCTTGCAGCTCTGTAGTTATCTTTGAGTGAAATGTTAGCTCATTCAGTCAAATATTCCCGAGTAATTTTCTGTAAAATTTCTCATTAAATAATATAGGTTTAAGTGCTTTTACAGAAATTCCGTGCCGCAGTCAACATTTATCGATTTCTTTCGTAATTATTTGCAAAAGAACTACAATTGGATTTTTAGCTTATTTTTAAATTAATACGTTAGTAATTGTGAATATCGAACGCATCGCTGTAGGCATTGCTAATGTCCGATATCGAAAATAATTTTTTATTAATTTCCAGCATCAATTATGCCTAACCTGTTACTAAGCTAATTAATTGTTCTCTGCACTTCATTATATAGCGGTGCCTGATACTACTCGTATAAAGCCAGGACATTACTGATAATGATATTGAAAAAATGCTTAACTGTAATAGTTTACTTCAAACAAATTTGTATTGGCCTGCGAGTGACACCGATGATAAGAATACTAGAATAAGATCGCGAGAATAAGAATACGACGATGATAAGAATAAGAAGCGCCGATGATAATAATACTGTAATTTAGCGCAAAATTTAAGCGTGTATTGCAGACGTTTTATGTACGTTCAGTTGCGTACGTGATTTAAGATTACTGTCGTCATGTAGGGCTTAAATTTTTTTTTTATTTTAACGAATCTTTGCCGTCTGACAAAATCATGTATGGTTTCCATCTTTGTTGTTGTGTTTCGAAAATAATTTTGAATTATTTCAAAACTACCGTCCCCTAAAATTGAGTAAATTGCTTCACTGAAGTGAAAAGTTTATTTAAAAAACTTCACTTTTCATTTAGCGATCTACAGATCCATCGATCAGAATCACGCAAAATTTTTCGTGTGGATTTTCGTTTCCAGGCGTAAATTCTGATGAACCCGAGACATTTTTGAACAACCCAGCAATTAGCTCGTCTAGTTTCGTAGCATTTGAAGGCCAGTTGATGATCGCTGGAAGACGACAGTTTGGTCTGGCAGATCTCTATGGCCTCTGATGATTTGCGGCCGCTCTTCAACATATGTTGGGTATGTGAACCGGTTCCTCTTTCCTACCCGGTACCCATGCATGCATGAGGTTCTTGATTTCTCTTCGCATCTTGGGTCCTTTTCTCTTCGCGGTTTCTCTTTCCTTTTCGAAAATGCTTGTTTTCCTGGTTTTATTTAACAAATTCGTACCTCTCACTTCACCATCCTTCTCACTTCATAATTACTTATCACGACTAGTTTTCTCATTGCGTGTACTTCATTTGTCCCTACTCGGTTCGAATTCACGTCATCTTTCTTCTCTACTTCTCAGTTCCATTACATTTCAGTATAAATTTTTTACCTTCTCCCTAAAGCATAGGCTCTTCGTCCCTTCCAGAAATTCGAAAATTATCCTCAATCTCACGCACCTAGATTGTTCGGCTTTTAGGAACTGTCTTGTAAAAAAACATCATAAATGATTTTTATCATTCCTCAAGTATTTAAAGTCATTATATTTGTTTATTAATGACTGTATGGTTGTTATATGCTTTAGCTGATAAGAATATGATCTTAATACCGAAAGATTTTAATGAATTTCATCTCCGAAAGCGATGGATGTTCATTGTGTTTATGTTTACAAGGCTTAAAACTGAATTCCGACATATAATGCAAACTGTAATGCAAACTTAGCATGAGCTATATCCGTTCTAAAGTGTGCACTAGTCGCAAGACATTCAGATCGTTGTTTAGTGATATATCGATGACAACGTCTGCTCTTCAAAACGCGCTCATTTTCATGGTCACTCACCACAACCACACTTTAGTGCTCTGTGGTTACGCATGCCGAGCTCAGCTCTCTTCCTTCCTCGTTTATCTTGAAAAATTGGTGGAAAATTGCGGTAATCCTTATTAAAAATTTTGTTATGAATATTGCGACACTAGGTGGTTAATGGTTCTCTACAAATTTTCAACTCTATATATAAACTGCAGATTTGCAATGGATTATAGATTCTTCTGTCCAATTACTCTGTATGTTTTCAGAGATGCAAAACCCAAATAATCATTCACTCTTCATTGACTAATCTTATGCAGCTAACCTGAGTTTCCGGCTGGCGGATAACGAACCACCTGCGATCGTCGTAAGAACAGCCTTTCCTCATTCAACTTTTCCTTTTTCCTTCAATAATCGCGTTCACATTTTATATCAAGAAATTATTGCGAAAGTTCCTCATCGCATGGACATGTGGACCATTTCACGTGGGATTTGTCACCTTTTATAGCAAATGATAACAACAACTTTGCACCGAGCAGGTGTCCATTGAACTTTATTGGGTTTCCTTGCAATTGCATTTATCAGTTACTGTGTGTGCGCTTTGATTGCATATGATTTTTTATGATTGCATTAAGTGTAACGACCACGTACGTCTCGGATCTAGTACCTAAAAATTATGTAAAGCTAGTGATGGTTTTCAGCTTTATGGTGTGACCACTACCGGATAATTCTCTGCTAACCCCCTGATAACCTTCTAACAACCCTTTGATTTTTCTCTGGTAACCCTCTGAATTATTCTTTAATAACCCTCTGATTATTCTTTGAGAATCCTGTCATAATTTTCTGATTTTCTCTGATAACCCTCCGATAACCTTCTGATAGCACTCCGATAACCTTATTAAAACCCTCCGATAACCTTATAATAACTCTCGTTGGCAACACACCCCGGTGAGAATCCCAATTAATTTATTAGTTCAAGAACACATGAAGTTTTAGACGATTGAAGAAAGCTAAAAAATTTGAAATTTTGCGAGAAAAGTTCCCACCATCTTTGAGCTCTTAATTACGTTAAGAATTTTCGGCGGAAGTGATTTTTTATCACTAAAAGGGAAATGCCAAAAGATATCGAATAAATACTAGTATTTGTAATATTTGTTGAAAACGTTGAGGTAGATCATCACGAGAAATACCGATCTTCATTATTTACGGTATAATTTCGTTTTACTCACATGTTTCAGCACGCACGTTTAAATTCAATCAAATGATACACGTGCAAATAATTCAAGTTGCAGTGCATTCCTTTTTTTACGTTCTGCTTGAATGTTATAACAGTTACATGGCTATGTATGTTCTATTCGAATGTAATTCCAGTTACATGGCTGTTTACGTTAGGTTTGAAAATTATTCTGGTTACATGACTGTTTACGTTATGTATGAATGTTAATCCATTTACTTGGCTGTTTACGTTTTGTTTTTACGTTCTATAAGCCACGACCGTCGAGTTGCTGCGTAGTATTTCGTCGAAATGACTTCAGTGCGGCCATGTTGGGGAGGAAGGGAGAGAAGGAAGCCCCGCGTCGGAGGAACCGTTCGACCTTCAAGGACGGCAGCGCCGGAGCCTTCATTACAGCGCCGTCGCCGCGGCGCTCCAGCCGCCCAATTCTGCGCCGACCTGCCGTGCTGCTGCCGTGCTGATGACCTGACGTGCTGCTGCCGTGCTGATGACCTGACGTGCTGCTGACGTGCTGATGACCTGACGTGCTGCTGCCGTGCTGATGACCTGACGTGCTGCTGTCGTGCTGATGACCCGACGTGCTGCTGTCGTGCTGATGACCTGACGTGCTGCTGTCGTGCTGATGACCTGCCGTGCTGATGACGCTGGATGGTGCTGCGTGCTTCATGCTGCTGTATTGGGTTGCGCGCATCGTGCTGCACCAAGTAGCAACCTATTGCCGCCGTGCTGAGAATGCGTTTAGCACAGCACGCATATCGTGCATCACAATTCAAGAATTTTCCCCACATTTAGTTTGCTCTCTTCATAGGTATTGCGTCTGTTATATTTTAAATCTAATCCCGTTGGATAACATTTCGAAGAAGTTTACCAGCGATAAACCTAGCAGTTCAATAGACTCTAGCACCTCTTAAAATTCATTAGAATACCGTTATCCTATAATGGCAACCCGAGCTTTGTCCTGCAGTCAGGACAGAATTTAATGCTATTCAAATACTTTTTAATTTTGAAAATTAGAAATTATATTGAAGTTGTGGTGTCTCTTTAGTAATTTTGAAGTTCATTCTTCTGACCTCAACGTTTAATCGTATTCCTTCATAAAGAGTTGGTGCAAATGTTATTCCTAAACTCGCTCTGCGTGTGCACGATAACAGCTCCTACTTATGCAGGCCGTCTACCCTGACATCTGCTGCTTGTGTGTAAGCCTCCAGCCACAGCTGTGCTGAACCGCCGGATTCCCGACTCGCGTTCTAAGTTCCTACGTTATATGTCGCGTCCTCATTGCCAGAGGACGCAGATGGTATGCGGAGAATGAAATACAGATTTTTGGTATCTTACTGTACTTCTTTTCAGTCCATCTTCCAAAGGCGACCCAACTAGTTCAGGCACAGAAGGAGAGTTGCTGCCTTCATCTGAAGACAGGCTACTCTCCTTCCGCCTCTTATGGCGCGACATTCTCGTAGTTGACAATGTCGCGCTTTTGATTAATTCTTAGGTTTCTCAGAGTTCAAAACCACAGTAATCTCAAGTTTCAAAATTAAAACCAGATATGTAGGCTCACTGGCTTAGGAACTTACTAACGTCCGTCGTCGATCGCAGCTCGAACCGGAGGACTACTCACTCAGTCACTACTCGCTCTGAAGTTTTTTCCTTCTGCTCTCTAACCGCCAAAATTTCTAAATAACCCGGAACGAGCCTGTCCGTGTACGCGGATACTAAAAAATATTAAAACTAAAACTAATAGTTAAGCTAATGCTGGGATTTATTCCAGCACACTCCCCGCCCGCAAATCCAGTACAGTAAATGGGGGATGCAGGAGGATCATTTGCCGCTCATCAGCAGGACGAGCTCGGTGATAGGGCGTAGGAAGGATAGAAAGTTTCCCGAGGTGCCGACGCGGATTGTGGCTGTTCGTACCCGACCGTCGGCGCTGCGCTTTGTCTCCATCACCCGGCCAATTGGCCAGTGACTTCTCTTGATCGCAATGTTTCTCACCAAGACAACGTCTCCAGTTTTCAGGGAAGGCTTTTGATGCAGCCACTTCCTTCTTGGCTGGAGATTTTGGATGTATTCTTTACGCTATCTGATCCAGAATTGCTCGGCGAGGTACTGGATTTGTCTCCAACGCCTTTTTCCGTAGGCGAGAATGTCGCGTTCGGTGTACTCTTCCAATGTTGTGGGATTCGGGCAAGATTTCAGTGTGAGTAGCATAGCAGGAGACAGAGGGACGGGGTCATTCGGATCCTCACTGATGTCGCTTAGTGGCGTGTTGTTGACGATGGAGGTGGCCTCTGCCAGGAAGGTAGTGAATTCGTCGCGAGAAAGACTTCTCGGTCCCAGCAGTAACAGAGACGCATCCAAAATCTTTGCGGACTGAATTTTCCTCTCCCAAACTCCGCCGTGATGGCTAGCCTTGGGAGGATTGAATTGCGATTGACAGCCTTGGATTTGAGCTTCTGTTTCCAAATCGTTCAGAGACACGGTTGCCCTTTCCTGGTTGAATTTGCTGATGAAATTTATGCCCATGTCGCATTTGTCGCACTTGGGCTTTTCATTGTAGTCAGATTGTCTGTGTTTCCCGAGGCATCGGAAACAAAGACCATTCAGAAGAAGTATCTTTCCTCGATCCTCAAACGGTTTATTCGCAAAAATCTAGCAGTCTTTCAGGAGATGCGTTGCAGTAGGGTGAAGCACACATACGTCTCTTCCACCAGGGTCGTAAACTAATGTTTCGGGTACAGGTTTGCTTTTTGTAGCGTAGGTCCTTACGTTTTGCACCCTGTGCAGTTCGCGCCTTTTTACTTCGCCAAATTCAGGGGGGCAGTAACCACGAGGCACTGCGAACACAGATGTTGCAATTAGGTTAATTCTCCAGTTTTTCCAAGATTCCAGGTGATCTGGTGGCAATTGATTGTCCCAGTCGTTCAAAGGAGGTTGGTCGGTGCTGACTTCTGAGGCTGGGAGGGCTTGCAGGTTGTTGTTGGTGGTGGGTTCCAAGTGAAGTTTCTCACTGGCCTGGGAGCACAGATGTGCTGAATTGGGGTGCATGAGAAGAATGGTGTTGGGTTGTGTAGAGAGCTGTTGTGAAATGGGCAGTGGTGGAGGCGGTTCCACCATAGGGTTCGAGCCAGGTTGATTCAGATCGTTTTCTTGTATTGGGAGCTCAGCAAGCTCATCAAGGTGAGACTGGGTTCGTGAGGCTCTGTTTTCAGTAGGTAAGACCTTGAGGTTCAGGTTGTCCGAAAATTGGGCTGGAGGAGGAACTAAATCCAAGTCAGGCTCGGAAGCAGAAACTTGAGATTTGGAAGACGTTTCAGTAGTATCGGTGATTGATACCTGAGAGGTATCTTCGGGGTCCATGTCTCTCTCCAGTTCGCGGAGAAGGGAGAGACATTCATAGACTTCCTCCTTGAAGGCAAGTCGTTCAGTCCTCAAATCCTTTGATCGTTCCATGTGCCCTGTGTCTTTGAGCCTTTTAGTCAAGATCATTGCCTTCAATTTATAGCACTTGTAGGCGTCCTTTATTGCTTGAGTGACTTCTGTCACTTCTTGAGGTTCCATGTTGTCAAAAACTATGTCCAGTAACCCCTGCAGGGTTGTTCGAGCAGTGTCAACATGCTCTTTCAGAAGATGTGTAGATGGTGCGCGGCGCCTCCTTGCCTCATTTTCCATGTTAGACATGATTTTTCAGGTGCCAGTATTTAGGTGTAAATCACAGGCTCCAGGTTTGCCAGGTTGAAAAGTTGGGCCAGGTTCAGGTTCAAGGCATAACCTTGATTGTGTCCAGGGTAAGTAGCCGACTCGCGGAGAGTTCAGGCTTGCCAGGTTACAGGTTCGAAACGGAACCTTGTCGGTGTCCAGGGTAAGTAGCCGACTCGCGGGGAGTTCAGGCTTGCCAGGTTACAGGTTCGAAACGGAACCTTGTCGGTGTCCAGGGTAAGTAGCCGACTCGTGGGGAGTTCAGGCTTGCCAGGTTACAGGTTCGAAACGGAACCTTGCCAGTGTCCAGGGTAAGTTGCTGACTCGCAGGGAGTTCAGGCTTGCCAGGTTACAGGTTCAAAACGGAACCTTGCCGGTGTCCAGGGTAAGTTGCTGACTCGCAGGGAGTTCAGGCTTGCCAGGTTACAGGTTCAAAACGGAACCTTGCCGGTGCCGGTGTCCAGGGTAAGTTGCCGACTCGCAGGGAGTTCGGGCTTGCCAGGTTACAGGTTGAAAACAAAACCTTGCCGGTGTCCAGGGTAAGTTAAGGTTCAGGTTGGCCAGGTTGGCGACAAGTAGATTGAAATAAGCACTTGCCGGCGTCCACGGCAAGTCAGGGTTCAGGTTGGCCAGGTTGATGACGGGTAGACATCATTTAGCACTTGCCGGCGTCCACGGCAAGTCAGGGTTCAGGTTGGCCAGGTTGATGACGGGTAGACATCATTTAGCACTTGCCGGCGTCCACGGCAAGTCAGGGTTCAGGTTGGCCAGGTTGATGACGGGTAGACATCATTTAGCACTTGCCGGCGTCCACGGCAAGTCAGGGTTCAGGTTGGCCAGGTTGATGACGGGTAGACATCATTTAGCACTTGCCGGCGTCCACGGCAAGTCAGGGTTCAGGTTGGCCAGGTTGATGACGGGTAGACATCATTTAGCACTTGCCGGCGTCCACGGCAAGTCAGGGTTCAGGTTGGCCAGGTTGGTGACAGGTAGACAGCATTTAGCACTGTCGCGTCCTCAATACCAGAGGCCGCAGATGGTTTGCGGAGAATGAAATGCAGATTTTTTGGTATCTTTCTGTACTTCTTTTCAGTCCATCTTCACATGACGTGCTAAATGTTGCTTCGTTTACGCGTCACACCGTTGTTTATCCCAGGAACAGGGATCGACGCTTCTCTAACCGCCAAAATTTCTAAATAACCCGGAACGAGCGTGTCCGTGTACGCGGATACTAAAAAATATTAAAACTAAAACTAATAGTTAAGCTAATACTGGGATTTATTCCAGCACAGTGCCAATTGGCAGTTTCTTATTTAATATGTTACAATTCACTTGCTATAAGGTAGCTAGACGACCAGTTTTGGTAATAAACGTAGCAGTTGCTTTCATAATGGAGCGCTGGACTCTTCAGGGGAAATTGCCTCCACTAAGGAGCACACGCACAGTTGTGTGAGGGACTCCCAGGGCATGAATACTTGAGACCATCTCCTGTCAAACTTGATCGTATTGAACACACGCAAGGAGAAAGTGTTCGATAGTTTCTTCAGTCCCACAATGAAGGCACATGGGAGAGTCAGCCATGCCGAAACGATGGAGGTAGGAACGAACCCCAACATGACCAAGACGAAGGCGGGTTAAAACTACTGTGACACGGCGATATTGACTTGCAACCCATGGGACAGGAGACAACCCAGAGCGGACAGAAGCAAGATGTTGGCCCTTTCCTTCAGCAGCTACTGCAGCAATCCAGTCCAGTTCCCAATATCCGAGAAAGCACGACCGGAGGACAGTAAGGGCATCCGTACAGGGCAAAGGAAATAAGGCAGAGTGATCAAGGTGATGTCCCAGTTTAGCAGCTCTATCAGCCCTCTCATTACCAATAATTCCGACATGGGCCTTGACCCACTGTAGATGCAGTCTTTAAATTATTCAACCGTACAAGTCTCTCACGTATTTCGTAGATAAGACTACAGCAGGTGCCAGTGGGGGATATCAAAAGTTGTAAAGCAACAAGAGAGTCAGAACAAACTACCAACAGAGGGAAGGGGTCCACCTCAATAATCCGCAGAGCCTGCAAAATTGCAATTAATTCAGCAGACAATATACCATGATGGGGGTTCAACCTCCATGCAGCAGCTTGTTTGGTAGATGGTAGGGCAACATGGGGCAGCGCGCCCCACACTTTTTTTGAACTAAATTTTTGATTAAGTTTTAATTGATACGAGGTGGTTCTTTGTTTTGTTTAAAGGTGCAACTAATGAGGAATGTATGATGTGAATTAGACGCTTATAGAGATATTCAATTTTTAATGAAACACTATTTTGTAAAAAGTGTCAAAATGGGCCCATTGCCCCACCCCTGGGGCAATGGGCCCATGGGCTTGGGGCAAGGCGCCCACCCTTGGTCCCTTTACCACAATTTCATAATTTTCGTTTAAAAATGATAAAACAACACTTTACATTTAAAAATAAGAAAAAATTTATTAAAAAGTATGACATTCATTCATTTATTAACAACTCAAAAAATTAAAATCCTTAACATAAAGAAAATATACCCTTGGCTTAAAAAATCTATCACTGACGTGAAGAAAAATATTTCATTGGCATAAAAATTTAGATCCTTGACTTGAAAAATATATCCTTGCGATAAAAAATTCGTCCTGACATGAAAAAATGTATTCTTGACTAGAAAAAATATATTTAGTTGATCAGAAAAAACTTCGTTCATGTTGACTGAAATCAACTTTTGGCAAGGCAAGAGTCAATAACTCGATATGGGGTCATAAATACGCATAACTAGAAACTAAACTTGCTGCCTTGAGGCGGCAAATCGAAAAATCATGCAATATGAAGTGTGATTGGTAATTCAAAAGCTAGTCATTGTTTTGAAAAGGTCATTGAGACAAATCTAATGATGTATAACACAAGACTTCCCCATGGGCGCTTTGCCCCGTGACACGCGTGGGCCCGTTGCCCCCACTAGGTATCCTTTCAATTTATATCGTGTCAAAATTTTATTTTAAAAGCTAATAGTCTAAACTTGTTCTCAAAATTATGCCTATAAATATTACTTTCAAAATATAATTCACAGTAATTTCAAAAGCTTCATCTACAGTAATCGAAAACAGTTTTATTTAGCAGCAAAAAAAACCTTTATCTGGGCTGAAACAGTTATCCACAAATATCTTAATAACGCAAACACTTAGCAAAACGTAAATCCGTACACTTCATCCCAGTGAAACTGTCGACCGGCGGTAGAGAACACGGACCAATATCTGCCATACTTAGCGAGAAACCCGCTATGGGCCCGTGACCCGCAGTGGGCTCGCTGCCCCATGTTACCCTATATAGAGACCACAACCAGTAGATGAACCATCAACCATTCGTGAGCCATCGCAGTATATTACCCTGTAGTTAGAGTACTTTATATCTAGATGTGCAGCAAAAAGACTGGGTGTGACATCCATGGAGCTTGTTTGGAAGTTGAGGCAGACAAGTGGGGACAAACAACACCAAGGCGGAACCGGATCAAGCACAGGAGTGGGCTGACCATGACATGGAGGGAGACCGAGTTCTTGCAGTATCCGTGGGCCATGTTGAAGTGCTGAGATCTTGTCACTAAAGACAACTTCAGAAGTTTTATCCCCATTTGAACGGTATTTTAAGCGAATATACATACTGGCAGTCAGATAATGACGTCTCAGTTTCAGGGCAGGAATATGAGCCTCCACTTGGAGGGAGACTATGGGAGTGGTCCGACGGGCTCCAAGGATAAGTCGAAGGCATGCATTCTGCAGGATTTCCAGCTGCTCCAACTGAGCAGAAGAAGCTGTTGCATAAAGAATACTGCCATAATCTATCTTTGCTCTAATGTATGCACAGTAAAATAGGCGCAAGAAACGAGAACTTGCTCCCCA